GCCCCATTCCCCTGGGCAGCAGCCAATGTCCCCACACCACACCGCCAGGGATTTTTCAGTTTAAAAAAAAAATAGCAAATGATATATAGCAAATTGATATAGTGTTGTAATAATCTGTGCATAATTTTCTGTAAATTCCCAGCTTTCTTTTTTCAAAAAGTAAGTCTCTAGGCTCTCTTGTTGCAAAGACTCAGCAAATCCAAACTCGACATTTGCTAACTCGACATCTACAATACTGTGTCATACCTTTGGTAATACTTCGGAAAAAAATGCTTGCTCTAACTCAGAAAGATTAATGTGGGGCAGAAACCGTTCTGCCAGGATTTTCAAGACACCTGTGAAAGAAAGGAAAAGGTAAGGAAAGCCACATGTCAAGCACAGGCAGTGCTGTGGAGCAGTTATTGCCCAAAGAACAAATGTTTGCATTTATTTTATTAATTTATTAAAATGCTAATGGCCTACCTTTTTATTAAAATATTCTAAAATGGCTCACAAACAAAAACTAGAATTAAAACCAGTATAAAGTAGCAACATACATAACAAAATGCAACACTACAAATAAGTTATCCAAAACAAGCAACAACTGAAAAACATAACGATTTCTAGTGTACAGATCAGACAATGAATCACTCCTTAAAAATTGCTGTTGTGTGATATATTCAAAAACCAACAAGAAAAAAGGAGAGAAAACTTCCCTGAGGAAGAAGTTCCACGACTTAAGCATCATTGTTGAGAAGATACAAAACTGGCATTACGTCAAAGGCCTTGCGATAGAGCAACAGTCTCTCCAGATCACCTTCTGGAATCTACCTGCCAAGAAAGACTTGGAGATCTATCACAATACCTCCCTGTCCAAGCCTGTCTAATGATCCAGAAGGACACTATGGTTGATAGGATGAAACCTGTTGAAAGGTCCAGTGGAAGCAAACCAAAAGGGATACATTCTTCCAGTCCAGTTCCTCGAGCAAGTCAGCAAAAAGGGCAACCAAGGTACTGGAGCTTGGAACACTATGAGCTCGAGGGTCTTGCACCAAATAAGGGAGGATTTTACACAGGCCAATAATTATCCAGAGCTATGAGGTTCAATGAGAGGTGCTTCAGGAGTGGTCTTAGCACGGATTCCTTCAAAACTTTCAAGAAAGTACTGATCACTTATTCCTCCTGTCCTTCTGACAGATTCAGTAAATTCTGAAGGTACGTCAGTTAAGTTCCTTTAGTATTCTCGGATGCAAATCATCTAGGCCCTACAGATCTGGACTCATTTAAGGCAGCCCTCCTTAACCAGTCTTGAGCTGCAAGCCTGTCTCCTCACCATTCACACCACTTTTGCAAGATTGCACTGAGTTCTCTTTTGGGACAGTTCAGAGAAAAATAGGAACTGACTAGTCCTGCTTTCTCTGTTAATATTTCAGCAGCCTTATTAAACAGCGGGCTTACTGAATCCTCCTTACTTCAAGCATACTGGAAAACCTCTCTGTTGTTTTGGGTAACTGCAGCCAGCCTCAACCCACTTTGAGCTTTGGCTTTTCCAACAAATCCATGCTATTCATCTTATACATTCCTTTTTGATTTTCAGCTCATCACTTAGTTTTCATGTGACCACAGGTTTATATGTCTCCTATTTTTCTTCATTACTGTTGATTGATTGTGCCTTAATAACTCCTTTTCCATAAAGTCCTAACCATCTTGGACTCATTTCTCTGATAGTTTATCTAGCCATGGAATCCATCCTAGCATTTTATTATGTTTATTAAAATGTAGGTTTTTCAAATGGAAAAAATATTCCAGAGCTTCCCTTAGGAATGAGAGGGTAATGATACTCAGTAGCAATTATCAGTACAATGCTAAACAGAGTTGGACCCTTCTAAGCTTCAGAATGTCCGGTCCAGGACTGCATGTCCAGTACTAACTGGCAGGGTTTGCCAACTAAAGTGGGAAGGGCCAGAGTAATAGAGATGCACAATTCCCAGAAATGTTTAAGTAATGAAGAAAAATGCATTTTTTAGGGCAGAAAAGGGATACAAATTTATGAAAATTATATTAATTGCATGGAAAATATAATAATTCTCCACTAGCGCCTAGCTCATATTTCCACTTCTACTGGTTGGTTCAAGAGAAAGATAAAAGGCAGGGAGAGAGAGACTGAATATTTTGATATCACATAGTACATTCAAGCTTTGCAGATATGTATTCCTGCAGTGTACAATTGAGGCATGGCTAGAAAAAAATCATATGTAGCAAAATAAAGCCTGTATAATAACAGAAAACAGATAAAGACTTTTAAGTATGCACTGTCAATCTAGCTAAACTTCATATACTTTTACTCGTAACTTTTACTTACAAATATGCTCAGTCCAGTTGTCAGAAATCTGATACACAGAGTACCAATACTAAGGAAAAACATACACACAAACACCCACAAATAAAAGCTGCATCATATATCCTGCACAGAGAGCGCCAGCTTGGTGTAGTGGTTAAGAGCTGCGGATTCTCATCTGGAGAACCAGGTTTGCTTCCCACATGCAGCCAGCTGGGTGACCTTGGGTCAGTCACAGTTCTCTCTGAGTTGTTCTCTGAAAGCTCTCTAAGCCCCACCTGCCTCACAGTGTGTCTGTTGCGGGAAGAGGAAGGGAAGAAGAAGAAGAGATTCGATTTATGCCCTGCCCTTCACTACCCAAAGGTGTCTCAGAGCAGCTGACAAACTCCGTTTCCCTTCCCCTCCCCACAACAGACACCCTGTGAGGTGGGTGGGGCTGAGAGAGCTCTGACACAAACTGCTCTTTTTCAAGGACAGCTGTGCCAGAGCTTGTGACTGACCCAAGGTCACATCAGCAGGTGCAAGTGGAGGAGTGGGGATTCAAACCCGGTTCTCCCAGATTAGAGTCCGCACACTTTAACCACTACACCAAACTGGAAGGGGATTGTGGGCCCCTCTGAGACTCCAAGTATAAATCCAACTCTTCTTCTTCTTCAAAGTTACTGGACCAAACCGCAGTGTGTGATTACCCTTACACCACAAGGTGTAGGTGCAGGAGGATCAGACCCTTTGCCAAATTCCACCATCTAATCCTCTAGATCTGAATACTCACAGGAAGAAGCATAGCCTAAGAGGGATGGCAGGTTCTCGAGTGTGCATCCCACAGACCATCCCTTTCTACATTTATTCAGGAGGAATTACGCCCCACAGGATTGAGTGGGTTTTATTCAGGTGTGTGTGCAAAGGACGTGGTTCTGGTTTTGTTTTATATGTTCGGCCCTTTTCTCCACCCCAGCTGGCCCAGGGAGATGTGCTCGGTGGTGTTTTAGAATAACCAGTTTTAAATGGAGAAATGGGATGAGATGGGCAGGGTTTTTAAAATATATTTGGGGGGGGCGCAGAAAGCCTCCCCCCCCTCGCAACCTCCCCCGTCCTCTGCCACTTTCCCCTCCACAGACCGGCTTCCCCTCTCCTCCCCCTAGGGTTGCCAAGTCTGGGTTGGGAAATACCTGGAGACTTTGGGGGTGGAGCCAGGGGAGAGGGCGTGGTTTGGGGAGGGGAGGGACCTCAGTGTGGTACAATGCCACAGAGCCCACCCTCCAAAGCAGCCATGTTCTCCAGGGGAGCTGATCTCCATCGGTTGGGGATCACTGGTAAAAGCGGGAGATCCCCAGGCCCCACCTGGAGGCTGGCAACCCTACCTCCCCTCCCCCCCCCGCGAAGAAGGGCGGCTTCCCCAGGCGCGCGAAAGGGAAGGATATGAGGAGGCGCGGCAGGGCTGCGGGGAGCTGCCGGCGGCACCGCTCGGGGCCCCAGCCTTCCACTTCCCTCAGCAGCAACGCCGCCTCAGGCTCGGCCTGCGACATGGCGGCTCCCGAGCCCGAAAGGCCCGCCAAAGCCGCGCGCCGCTCCCAGCCCGCACCGCGGCGGCGATGACGCCAGCCTGCGCGTGCGCGGAGGGCGCC